ACGAGTATACACGTTTATTATACTGTTATTGTATTCACCAAAAATATACTCATAATAATTTTGTAATTACCTTCGATCGTAGTAGAATTAATAGGACAGTTTTTTGATCGTTGTCTTCTTAGCATACGTTTTACCGTGTCTTCAGTGGGCATCCTAGCTTTAGTTGCTGTTTCTATTTGCGATACATTTTCCGTAAATATTTCTACAGGATTTATCATACTAGAAGAAGTTACTTGATCCTTCATTTTTTGTATACATTTAGTAACTTTTATTTCTTCTTTATCAGGTAGATGATTATGTGGATTTTTTTCTACAGGATTATCATGTTGCAATTCAGTGTACATTGTCCCTGTACACTTGAGAGAACTCGCTTTCATACAACGCCATGTTATTTTATTTTTCCCCAAATGCTTAATGACGTACATATGACCATTAAAACAAATTTTGCTACCTCCTTTGTTTGTTTTGACAATTTCCATTATAAAAATTCAAAAAAAGTTCTTACAAATTTTAACACCTTACACTTTTATTTCACGACGTTTGTACTATACACAGACTGAGCATAACGGAAACTAAATAGTGTATAAAAGATAAAATTTTACCAATTTCCCAACCATATAGGTTTCGGTCAACCTATAATAATATTAGATTATAGAGACAATCACATAGTATATTATATTGTTCACATATAATACAATACTTTAGACACTAAGATACCAACACCAGTTTTAAGATAAAGTCAAATGGCAATGACTTTTATTGCTATATACCTTAATCAGTTTAATCTTTTATATTTCAAATGTATATTTATAGTATTTATACCATATATCCGGAAACGGTATTTACGGTATTTAATGTTGCTTTTTTATCGATGGCTTTTTTATCCCATGGATTTTTTATCCCATAGCTTTTTTATCAATGGCTTATTTATCCGTGGCTTTTTTGTCCGTGGCTTTTTTGTCGGTGGCTTTTTTATCCTAGATCCCTTGCGCTGATATTTATATATGATAAGTGATAACTGATAGGTGAAAATATGATAAGTGATAACGGTAATATATATCTCGCACATGTACGCGGCCAACAATGGTTAACAAGGCTCGGGGACCAGGGACCAGGGACCAGGGACCAGTGTTTTCGAATGGACTATTTTACAATTTTAACTTTTAAAAAAACATTTCTAAATAAATAAATTCATTTTATAACTTTAAAATCAACAATTAAGTGTCATCACCGGCATGGTTCGTTTTTTTAGTCAACATTTTGTATACTCATGGTATCTGTCTTATATCATATATACTGATTATGTCTATTGATATAGATGGTATATTTCAACTTAAAATAAAATAATAAAAAAGATTCGAGTTAAAATATTGTAAAATGTAAGTCTACATTTCGAAATATATTACTTAAGTTGTATGCCTGGTTATTTGTCCGTTTTGCAGTTCGACTACATAATATAACCTTGGATTATTTTCTAATTTACTCAAAAATTTACAAAGTAATCACACTTTTTCTTCTTTTATCATTGTATTCTCTATAGTTGGCAGAATAGTGAAAGTCCTGTCTTGATCATTAACTTGAATTTTAGGTTTTAAACTATTCTCAGTTACTGGAAACCTACTTCTTAAAAGTCTCTTCGTAACGGTTTTTCTGAATCTGTTAAACTTCTGAAGGAAAATGCCACTGACTTTCCTTCTTGTATTAAAAAACAACCCAGTCCACTACTAAAGCTATCACATTGAATACTTATTTTCTTTTTTTGGATCAAAATATAAAAGAACAGGGAGTAAGTAATTATATGTTTGGAATGATTTATAACTTCTCTATGACTGTTAGTTCATGCCCAGCACACATTTTTCTTTAACAGCTATCTTAGGAGAGCAACCAATTGCGACATGTTTGGCATAAATTGCCAAGGAAAATTAAAAATCACTAAAATTCTTTGTAGTTCTACTTTGTTTTGTAGATGGTTAACAAAAAGTAAAAAAGGTATGAATAATTTTATAAATAGGTTAGTTCATATACATTTGACGGAACTGAATATAAATCTGAAATTGAAAAAATACGCCAATGGAAAAAAACACTTAAGACTTATTGAAGAATGTAAAAGTCAACTGAACTTATCAACAACCTTGGTTCACCCAAAACTTAAAAATACTGTTAATATTTTCTTACAATTTCATATTTGCTATAATGCAGTATAATAATACTACTTTAAGGTTAAACATAGAAATATGCGCATTTGGCACCATTTATTGCCGAACATAATTTGCTTTATACAGTAAGGAACACCCACCCACATTAGTCCAAAAAATAAGTCCCGATTGAAAAGTAGCTTTTAAATTAAAAAGCGGCAAAGCAAATACCGAAAATACATGTCATTGGAGCAGTAGGTAAGAGCAGTGTTATTGATTTAATGCAGAAAAACAAGTTCTTTGCCATTGTAATAGACGAAAGCACGGATACATTTACAATAAAGCACATGGCAGTAATCGCTAGAATAGAAGACAATAATTTGTTGGTCCGGGATGAATTTGTTACCCTCGTAGAAGTAAAAATAGCTACAGCTGACGCTTTATATGAATTAACTAGACATTTTTTTATAAAAAATAAAATGTATACAAAAAGAATATGATAAGCTTTGCTGGAGCCTAATATGATAGGCAAACATCATTCATTAGCTACTAATTTATTGAAGGATGTGCCGGATTTATTTCATTATTATATATTAATGTATATGCCAGTATTTTCATCTATGAGCTTCGTATGCTTGCTTCAAATTACCACGTTTTGTTAAAGATTTTGCAAGAAATGTTTATAAAACTTATAACTATTTAACCACGGAACGAGTGATAAAAGACTAATTGTTTTCAAATGAATTTGGTAATAACTTTATGGATTTGTTTGACCGAGAAATAGGTAAATTAAAAATGTAATTCGTACATTGTTGTATTATAGGCTACGTATATTGTTTTTTGAATATTTTTATATTTGCTTATATATAATAATAGGTATCATTAAATCTGTAATAAGAGAAGATTGTAAAGTTTCAATTTTATGTTAAGTTTTACATGATTTATACTTCGTAATGAAAGATCTTAATAATGTAACATTCAGAACTGTCATTAAAATTTGATGTGGTTTAATAAAGTGTTTATTTTTTGATTGATAACTAATTTTGTTATTACAATAAGTGAAAATTTTTTTTTTTTTGATTTATGCTTAAGAGTTATGAACTTTATTGAAGTGTGGGTATTATGAGTTTTACATTCTAATCGTTGTCAAGGGGAGGGGGCAAAGCCCCACACGAATCTGCTATAGTAATATTACAAGGAAATAATAATGATATATGGATATAAAAAGTAGGGTATTTATGAAAGATCAGTTGGTAACTATGAGCGCGAATTACGGTCGTTCTCTCGTGGGTGGGAGTATACTATATTTTTCTAATACAAACTAATACATTATGTTGTTATAAGCAAATTGTAATTGATAAGAACCACTACTCTTGCATAAGCTTCCCATATAGAGGGTGCAATGTATTTTATGTTAAGTGTTTATATAATGTAACAAATGTTGTTTTTGCAAAATACACACAATTATTTTTTTATAATATTACCCACTTAGGTATATCATATTATTTTCTATAAAATAATGTAATTTTAAAATATTTAAAAAAAACAATACTATCAAGTAGTGAGTTTGGTTAATTTATTTTGGATTACAACTGCAACAAATTCACCTTATTCGGGTACCGTGCATTAAAATTTCCCTAAAACACTAATGGTGCAAAAATCTTTTACAATTTTAACCTTTAAAAAAAACATGTATAAATTAATTAATTAATTTCATAACTTTAAAATTCAACAATTAAGTGTCATCACTGACATGGTTGGTTTCTTTAGTCAACATTTTGTATACTCATGTTATCTGTCTTATATCATACATACTGATTATGTCTACTGAGATAGATTATAAATTTTAAAATAAAATAATTCAAGGTAAAATATTGCAAAATAGAAGTCTACATTTTGAAATATATTACTTAAGTTGAATATAATGAAATTATAAAATCTTGTTAAACTAGTAGTAATAATCCTCAAGATAATATTTTTTTTTTTATAAATAATAATAATTAATAACTAAGCAATATTGTATCATATATTTTTAAATCATACCTAATTACAATAATAATTTATGAACAATTATTTATGCTTACATAAGAATAACATTTTTATAGTTAAATTAATTTAAAAAAGTGGGCTAGTGTGTAGCATAGTGAAGTACAATAGGTATATACTATATAGCCTATGTTACGAGGTATAATTTTATGGCATATTACTGAATAGGTTCATGGTACAAATAGGTAATACTTAGCTTAAAATTAATCTAAATATTTTGAAAGTGTCATGGCTTATAGTAAAATGCATCATACATCATGAAATTATTTTTAGTTCCACTGCAAATTGTTTTTGAATTACAACAAAATAACTAATATTGTTATTCCTTGTTTAAATATGTAATTTCGTCCAAATGTGTACTTTAAATGTCTATTAATTAAAATTATACATGTATACTATATAGAATTTTGTTTTGCCAGATTTTCCTGACTTTTTGAGAATTACTATGAATTTTACAATGATGTGTGTATTTTTATATATTATTTTTTGTTTGTCATCGCCTTTTTGGTACTCTGTTTTTCTTCAAAAACATCTTTTCAGGTAGAAAAGTTAATCTAGTTGGTATTATGGAGGGTCAAAAGTAAAAGTAAAATTCAAAATAGTTTTCAAAACGGCATGAAAAACATAATTTAGTTATATTTTATACACACAATGACTTTTCAAAATAAATTTTTTTTTGCAAAAATGGATTTAACCTACTGAAGTACACTAGTACTAATATTTAATAGTAAAATATATTTCTTTAGTACATCAAATTTACTAAATTACTAAGTAATATTATAGGCTGACAGACAGTCTTTGCTCAAATCGTTTTTCGTACACAATGATTTTACATCATTGAATTCAAATTTAACACCATCCATTACAGTGACCCACTTGTAATTTACTGTACAGCAGAGCGATATCCACTCACCAGATTCTTTTATTTTGTACCTCCCTCAAACCAATAAGATACACTTTTCTATTAGAAAAGATGCTGAAGTTGAAAATCAAAATGTTATTTCTACTAAAAAAAATGTATAGATACATTCATTGCTCCATTCTAAATTTAAGAAGTATTAACTTTTACCGAGTAAGATTTTGTTTATAATTTTTAATCGTTTCATTTTTTTTTTTTTGTATTAAATGCAATATTCCTTTTGATAAACTAATTAGAACTAAATGTATTTTAAAATTGTGTTCTATTGTACAATAAAAGGGGCCTCTATAGGACAAATTTACTTTAAGTGTAGATATTTTTATTTGGGTATAATAATGCTTTTGAAGTAAGTAATCAAATTTAGAAATTGAATTATGATTTATAGTATTCAATAAAGGTTTGATAAAATTAATGAAAATATGAATAAATTCATAAAACACCCAATTATGGGCAATTTAGTTACTTATAAAGTGAAGGAATGTAATAATTCCGGTTCTTGTTTCATTTGTACTGAGACAACTTTGCACGACTGTTTCAAATTTTCTTCCAGTATATCAACACCCCAATTGTTTTCATCATAATCTGGTGTCTCATGTTCGTTCAAATGCTTCAGCCATATCACTTTCCTCCGCATTTTTTTATCACAATATTTGCATGGATAACACATGTTTTTTCCCATATAACTAGAAAATAAAAATGTTTAATAGTTATTTTAAAAATGTTGTACAATTGTAATTGTAATAAATAAACCGAAATATTCACTTAATCTTACTTCAAATCTGCAATTGGAATATCTTCTTCTTTTGTAATGGCTAGCTTACATATAGCAGCATGGCTTATAGCGGCAGCTTTACTCAGTAATGTTTTGGTGCAAATTCTACACGCCCATACTGTTTGGTATTTGAAATGTGGTCGATCATTATCGCATCTGACCATAAATGGAGGGCAAAATGGGGTTTGTTGAGGTATTTGTTTAGGGCGCCCCCGGCGATTAGATCGCTTCACAAATGTTTTTTTTACATCTGGTTCTTTTTTTACATATAGCTTTTTTTTTGCAGTAAGTAATGCCTCACTTGTATTTGGTTTCACATCCATAATGTTTATTCTAAGTATAATATCGTCCGTAGGTACCAAATCTGAAAAAAATCAAATGATAAAATATTGCACATTTGTAAATTATTGAAATTTTAAATTGTAATTTCGATACTGCTTTATATATTGTTATGACTAAGTAATTTAATTTAATTTTTGTTTATAGTTATTTTACTTCTGATTAAAATGTATAGAAATTATATTTTTATTTTAAAGTAAAAGAAAGTAGTGAAGTGACAGATTTTTAAACGACTCATATACAAATTAGTTGTTGACTACCAATTTTAAATAATACATAGTTTTTCCAGTGTATTCGTTTCATTTATATTATACATACGATAACTTAATGCAACAGTGTCTCACATTTATTTGAACAACATCAATGCTTTGTTTTAATAAAAAAATTACTTTAATAATAGATTTTATACTTTTATCTTGCAAGTTAAATAATAATTGAAATAATCATTTACCCATTACTCATACACTTTTATGTATTACTTTGAGAATAGGGTCATCATCAAAAGTAAAGTGAAATAACTTAACCTGTAAGTCCATATAACGGGCATACAATTCCATTAGTGGGAGGGGGAGGGGCAGGCCCTCGGCCACCCTCCTAGATTCACTTATGATTTCAGCCTGAAAACTTTTCTTCTTGAGGATTTTCAAGTGTTTTTATCATTTACCAAACACTTATTTATCGTGCATATCAAATCAACTATACATGGATTATCTTGTCAATATTAAATACGAATTTTGGTATGTGCTGAGTTTAAGAACGACAGGAATTCTTGGTTTAAGTTCAAAATAGAACACAAACGGTTATTAGATAATGGTTATTACTGGAGTTACCAACTAACTAGCCTCTTAAATTTGTTTAGCTTAGGTATTCTTCATGTATACATTGTGTCATATAATATACAAGAATATTACTAACTAATTGTCATTTGATAATCACCTATATTAATTCAATAATTTAAAAAAGTACAACATTGTATTTAATTTATTTAATTTAAATATTATTTTTACCATAATGTTGAATACTATTGCAGTTAACTTCCCACTCAATCATTGATTTTTGTGTTAAAATAGGAGCTGAACGCCTTAATTTGCAATGTATTTAAATAAGAAGACACATTTTTAATGGATAATCAAATCATACCCATTCCTTAATAACTTATTAGCCATCTATTATTAATTGTTCTATTTTTTTTTTCCAGAATACTTATAACATTAATTTATGCCTATCTAATACCTAATAAACTATATTATATTAATAAGGCCACTGAAAAATTAGTTAGAAATAAATCAATGTTAAGTTTAATTTTAGTTTTTTTCATCCTAATTTTAGGTTTAATAACAAAATTTGTTGAATCTACAAAATAAAAACTGAAATACGATAATTTAGCACTATAGCTCTCAGTTGTTATTCATAATAAAAATTATGTAAGATGAAATGTATTTGACCATTTGAGTATGCAAGTATTGAACACAGTTGTGATTCACTTAATCGTTTATAAGATTTGTAAACTTATTTCTTGCAATAATATAAAATACCATGAAATATCTTAATATTTTTAGAAAAACACAGCTACATAGTTTTTAAGTACATGTTCAACTACTTTAAAACTAACACACCCACATCCTATTGTTAAACTTTAGTATTACCTGTTTTGAAAAACATGCATAAATGTATAGTTTATAACACAATATACTTTGTGGAAAAAAATAATACAACTTTTAATCATATACTACAAACTACAAAGACATTTTTAAAGTATTTTCTACTCTTGGTTGAAAGTATTCGATTATTCAAATAGGGACCTAAGGACACAGCTGTTCAAACTTTGAGACAATTTGAAATACAAAAATCAATAAAAACAGGAGTGAGAAAATTAAAGTACATATTATCAAAAAAAGTATTTATTATATGCAAAATATTAATTATTACTAAAAAAATTAAAAATTAAAATATTATATATGAATTAAAATTCAGAAAATTTTTTGGATGATTTTACATAAAAATTGTGTTTTAGTTCGTTAATACATAAACTATAAAACCAATGTTCATAATCTAACTTATATTATTGTACTGTATTACATTTTATTATATGCATATATATATATATGTATAATTTATAGATACTAAATTGTATCATTTTAATGCACATTGGCAGTAAGTGACTGCTGGATATTACAAGATAGATCAAAGAACCATACTGAAGCAACTAATAGACATTAAATGCCGAAATGGGAGTTTACCATCCTAATTTGTGGTCTTTTATCAAATGTTTGCCGAATGTACTTGCTGAGAGTTGGTGAGATGTATTTTATAAGTAACAGTACTCAATTTTGAGAATTGCACAAAGTTATGAAAACTAAAACTAAAACATTTTGCTATGGGTCTCCAAAATATTTCGCTTCATAATATTATGTATAATGACATTCTTCAACATAAAATTATAGCATAAATAATACAAATAACTGTTTTTGAAATTAATTTTTCTTAAAAATATTTCTATTGATTTACCTATCTCTTTTTGATAACCCATTATCCAAACGGCCATGTCTATTTGTCCTAGATCGTTAATTAAGTTGATGGTTATAATATCATATTATTTTAACATACTCACTGTTCTATTTGGAGTATATTGAATCCACTGGTTTAGTTTCAAATTTCACAAGGTATGGATTCTGCTGAGCCTTAGAATTTAATATTATACAGTAATTATGTATACATTTTTAAAATCAGGTTGGGATGGCGGAAATGATACATTTAATTTGTATTTTATTTAGTGTTCACCTTCTGAATTGCTTCAGTATAATACTAAAAATGAAAATACGTAATATTAGAACATAACTGATGAGGAAATTGTAAAATATTTTGGAAAACAAACAAACAACGTCTAAACTTATGACTTATCAACAGATAACATCGATATAGATAAGAACAGCATTCTTATCTATCTCGATGGAAAACGATACATAGATCTTATACTATAGAAGGTATAAGGTCTATGCAACAATGGCATGCGTAACCTATCTTTTCGTATGCTCTTCGTACATACAATAATTGAACTTCAAAAGTTCATCAAATACGCAGATGACATAAAATAACTAAAATGTACGTATACATACCTATTTATCTGAAGGTTATCTTGATCTGATTGAAATATAATGGGCATGTGGCATCTTGAAATTTTCACAAAATATTTAAATAAGCATTTTTTAGACATAATAAATTAAAATTTTTAAACTTTTCAAGTCATTTAGATCCTACTAATATTATAAACGCGAAAGTTTGTAAGTATGTTTATTATTCTTTCACGTAAAAACTACTGAATGGATTTTAATGAAACTTTACAATAATGTAGCTTATACATCAGAATAACACATAGGCTACAATTTATAAAGATACATATTTTGTGAATTTTTTAATTTTAATTTAATTTTAAAAAAATGTGCAAATTGTATACCTACTTATAACTTTTTCTAGGCAGGTCGGTATCGGCGTGGAATAATAAACAATTATTATAATTATTTAGTTTAGCAAAAAAAAACAAAAAATAATCAATCATGGAAGCGTGGTTTGGTTTTCTATTTAGTAAATCAGAATCGCCAAGGGTGCCAGTTCTTATACCGCGCATACTTGTCATACCCAACGCCTTGCCATTCATTCAATTTTAAACGCCTACAGCTCCCATTAAAAGCCGCATTTTCAATGACGATCAACAAATCGCAGGGTCAAACCTTGAAGGTAGCAGGCATACATTTGGGCAGGCCATGTGTTTTTCTCATAGTCAGCTCTATGTGGCTTGGCTCACATGTCTCCAAAGTGAAAAATCTGCATGTTTATAGGAGCATACTGCAGTAGCTATTTATAGGCCTATGATTAGGGCTCTGCAGTGCTTGGATACCGTATTTCTTATGTTGACAATGTTGATATATTATTATAGTGCGACTATAAAATTGGGGTGATATATTTTTCAAACGCGACTAAAAAATTATTTATGTGATGATTTTAGTCACATAATGTTAGTTCTTTTATACGTCACGCTAATATAAGGTACGCAGACATAATACTGTGCAAACGAAGGATACGTACCTAATACGAATTACGAAGGAATGCATTGTTACTGGTCGGCAAGCAACATCGAGTAATTCATTATATAAGATAAAACATATCTAATATTATAGTTGGCACTATCAATCGGCAACGAAGTGCACGAGATCAGCTAGTATTAAATACTAACGTTTTTTTTAGTTTTTCCTTTAAATAATATTAAATGTTGAAAATTGTATTAGTCTATATGTCATAAGTTCTGAGGGCAGAATTCGCCCAATTTTAAATCTATTCTTTTTTTAAAGGCAATACAAGGAAGATACTTACAAAAATATAAGAATGTAATTTATAACTAAACTACCTGAATTACCCGGCTTTGCTGGGAGGTATTCCATTTTATAAAAAAAAAATTAGGTTAAAAAAACTACTATTTTTTTTAATCTCTTCTATTTCTTTAATATATGCAATATATTTTAACATATTTCTATTGAGATTACAATAATTCTGTGTAAATAATATTTTTTGTTCTTTGTTGAGACGCATACACACATAGGTTTTGTGCCGAGCTGACAACAAAATTGTCGGTGAGTAAAACAGGGATTCGAGATGTCAAGGCTTGCCACCTTCAGTTTCTGTCTCTGTGTCTTATTGATGGACATAACAAAACAAAATTGTATAGGGAATTGGACTCGTTTAAATTCAAACGGGTATTAATTAGTAATCATCGGTATCCTGGGATTAAAAACAACTTGGACTTGGGCTAAGTCGGAAAGTATTTAAGTTTCAATCATGTTAATCTATATAACTACTATCCTTAATCTAGTACCATTGCGTAATTTCGGTGCATTTAAACTCCTTATAAGTGTTATTCGAGCTTCAATTTTCAAGTCAAGTTTATGCGGAGGAAGTTCTGATGGATTTAGAGAATTCAAAAATTCAATTAGAGTATCAATAGCATCATCTTGATCAGTTAGACTATCATTTCCTCTTTGTAAGCATTATGCAACCAATAACTTCAAAATTAACTACTAAAAGTCTAAAACTAATATACTTGGCCCCCGGCACGCACATGTCAAATACTTACTTCACGAATATAAAATTTTTATTTTTTGGTATCAATCTTTTATTTTAATCTCCAATGACTAATCTGACGACCTAACCTAACCTAAGACAGATGAGACGGTCCAGTTGGCATAAGATAAGTATTTTAGTACAACACGGGATGGAATCCCCCAAATATCAGATAACGCACATCCGAACATTTTTTTAATTTGTTGAATTTATTAATCGATTTTATTCTAATATAATATGTCCACACGACGTCACACCCTAAGAATAAATATTTATTACAACTTACTGTTAGACGACGCATCAATACTCAATAATTTAATTATGAAAATAATAAGTAATAGCTCATAATTACACAACAGTAAAATATTTAATTTTATCGACACTCAAAATAAATGGTTAGAGATCCGACAGTTGCAGTCTGCAGCTGCGGTATAGCGCGGTCCATTGTCATTTGTAAGAACATTATAACTAGGCCGTCGGCCGTCTGGGAATTGATGAATTTAACAATGAACCTTTTTTCAATAGGGACTAAGGTAACTGGATACTAACATTTCACTTTTATAAGAGATGCACCCGGTGACCGGGTCACTATTTAACTATTTGTATGAAGTCCCTTGTTTATGGTACATAATATAGCATATCTTTGAGAATTGAGGTAATAATATATTGTGATTATGACTAATCTTTATAGACTGATATTTAGATGGTTCCGTATTATTAATTTTAAACTTAAGATAGGATGCGATCATCAGTTCACCGATTCGAAGCCAAGAAGTCAGTCGACGAGTGACGATGACTAGATCAAACTCTGTGGCTTAATTACTGGTACCTTTTAAACATTTAATTTCTTTTGGCTCAACACCCCGGTAATTAATTATAAACATATTCTATACGTAACAAGAAAATCAAGCAAGTAAGTAGGTAGTAACATTCAAATTAAAAGTATTAGTTGGAAAAGTAAAATGATGTGAACACTAATATACTTGGGCATCCGTATAGGAGAGAGTAGAGACCGTTGCTCACCATTTTCTCTAGGTTAACTATAATAATCATCATGTATTATAAAATATAACAAAAAAGTTTTTTGAAATTAAAAATACAAAATTTTTTTTTTGCGCCGAGTGATTTTTATTACACTCTACATCAGTGGTGTGCAATCTTTTTTGATCCACGACCTCCAAAATTATTTATTTTTACAATACGACCCCCCCCCTCCCTTCTTTCCAATATAACGTAAGTGTATAATATATATTTACTTAATAGTGTTAATGTATACAAACATTTTATTCGTTAAAATTAAATCATTAATTTTAGGCAATTTCAATATTTCTTTAATTAATCTAAAATATAAAAAAATTTACTGAAATTATTACAATAATGATAAACATTTTAACATTTTTACAATTATAAAATTACTTAATTATTTTAATGAGAGACCTGACCTGAGTACCCATAAACTGCGCGATTCAATATTGAACTTGTTATAGCAACATTAATATAATATGACATTATACACAGTCATCGACGGTACAAAATAATTTTACTTTGTATACAAATATAAAATAATATACATAATATATACTTTAACTTTTTCATTTGGTGTAAAACTATTGGTGACCCCCTATAATAAAATTTCGGTTGAGGAGCACTACTCTAAATGAACGTCAACCGACTAACATCGTTGTTTTATGAATTTATAGTCTCTACTAACTACCCACATGGGTAATATGATTCATCAATAATTTTTACATTCAATACCTACATACCCGTCACTCGAAGGAAAAATGTCATAAACATAAAACATTATGAATACTTTATCACTAATCAGAGAGTGAAACGAAAAATCTAAAAATGAAAGCATTTTGCCTACTCTCCCCTTGACAGATTTCTGCTAAAGCCCTTAAATATACGCTACACATAAACTACATAAACTACACACACACCTATAAATATAAAAATGTATCATAATAAGTTATTATGAATATTGTAGACGGTAAGTTGAATTAATATTATTCTTAAATTATCAGAGATGCTGGAAAAATATTAAATATACTTATGTAAAATTTGGATGTTTTTGGAACCTCATTACAACGAAACGAAAAACGTTATTCTTTGAGTTAGTATGTAATTTTGTAAAAATTTGGACTTAAAATGTCTATAAAAAATAACTATATTTAAAATTGATTAAGTGGTGCCTTGTTTTGAATTTTCAATCCTAAGCTATAAAAATTAAAAATTTTATAAATTAACTACAAAATCATTTTCAATTTGATAAATATTGTCAAAATTTAAACATTAAATGCTTATGAATAAAAATCGATTCTATATATTTTAAACATTTGAACAACTGCTATTGTAACAATATATCAAGGGTCCTGTATTTAATTTCACCATTTTTTAACCCAACCATACAATTTTATTGACATAAATAGAAAAAAAATGAAAAAAAATAAAATTGAAAATGTTATCAATGATAATTTGATAATGTTATATGAATTGATGAAATAAACATATGGTGTAATTTTCAAGTGTCTACAGTAATTCGCTAACTTTTAATTACAACAAAATAAGAAAATCGCTACATGAGAAATCGAGTGAATATCCAATGTTGTAAAAATTTCAACTTCAAACGCTCATAAAAAATGATTGTGAACTTATGCTCAACTTTTTTTAAAAGTCCACTAATAACAACTTACGAAGAACCTTTAATTACATTTACAAGTTTTCTGACCGAGCGAAACTTTTTTTATCGACATTAGTTAAAAAAAAACAAAGAATGATCATAAAAATTTCAAATGCCT